AGATTTTACGATATTATTTATTGATTTGAAATTCACTTGATGAATGATTTCAACTAAGGATCTCGTGTTCAAATTTGAAACAAAGTATTATTTAAATTATTTAAAATCCACTTGGTACATATATAATCAAACATCTTTAATTCAAGAAGCATTATATTTTTAAAAAAAATTTAGTAGCTTATAAATCCACTTATACATTCAAAGTATCTCTAGAGCACGAACACAATTTGTGGGCTATACGAAAGTTCGAGACTACGCGTTAAATCTCAATTAGTGTCAGATGCAGAGCTATAAAATATTTATTCTTTTCGGCTTCAAGGGCTTTGCGTAGAAGGTTGAATAGGAAACCGGCAAGGAAAATATTTTGAAAACAAACTAGTCAGTCTAAAAATATAATATTACGCAATGTGGTAATTAGTCTATCGCGGATATTACCAGAACCATAATTACCAATAAACAATTTATTTACTCCAAGAACACTCCGTAAAGACAATAAGATAGAACAGAATTCCCAATTGCAAAAGAGATATGATACTCTAGCAGCACCACTTTGATATGTGGAAAATGAGCTAGTTTATCCGTTATTTGCTTATTGGCGGTGTACTTCTTGTGCCCCCTTAGCATTATACTATAATTATATTAGCATACACTCGTATTTACTTGCCTATTGGCAAACTAGTGACTTTGGTAAATAATCCAAAAGTGCACGTGACAACACTAGCACAAGAAATAAGAAACCGAAGACCATTGCGCAACGAGGTGAGAGGCGGGTCACTAGCGAGTGCATTTTTCAGTTGAAGGCATTATCGTCAGCAATGCATTTAGGCCAGAAAAAACATTCAACGTTAAACTCAATACGCATGCTATGCCCAAGTATATGCTCAAAAAGAATTAAAAAAGCCACACGCCCCACAAAATATAGTCAACACCTCAAATGCCGACTTCACTGTCATTGCCCCTTGTAAAGCTATTCGTCAGCCATTTTGATTTGGCATTTGGTGTGTGAGCGGCGTTATTTGGCGGGTATTGTTGCCATTATTTTCGTTACTTTTACCATTATAACTATTGTTTTTTCTCTTGGTGAGTAGCAGGCACCGAAGTTGTTTGTTGTCTGAATCCATTTTACTATTGTTGTAGTTAGTTAAGGTTTCGACGTTTTCTTTTTGCAATATTTGAATGATTCCCCGTTTGTTCGTTTCGTTGTTGGCCATGCCAGTCCCACGGGTAATTATAGACACGGTTGTATGCATGCGGCGGCGCAGAGTTGCTCCAGAAATCGACAACAGCAACACAAACATTAAGGAAACGCCTGAAAAATTATATCTGTATTACACACACACGTTTACCATGACAAGTCACCAAGGAGCGGGAAATAATGACTGCACAGATAACAACATTTGGCTACATGTACATATGTATGTTAGTGTTATTATTATATAATATATTCACGTCTTCATGTCAGAAAACTATGTAGATATATATGGTATATATATGTATAGTATGTGGTTAAAACTTAAATTCTGTAACAAGGGGGATAGTAAGGAACGAAGTTTCCCAAAAACCGATTGCTTCTAATATTCTTGCGAAACCAAAGACAGCAAACATATTTTCCAAATAAAACATGTATTCTTAAATATTTCGAGCGAATAATAAATTTATATAATTTCCTTTCAAATGTTTATTTGCGGACCAAATAGAAAATTTGAAAAGTCATCGCTATTTTTTTGTTGATCAGTATCAATTAGTCGTACATATTACCGTTTAAAATTATTTGATGATTTATTATGCCACAAGTTCTCAGTTTCCAAGCATTAAAGTTTTGTTGATTTAATAGTTATATAATATTTTTACAGGCCTCAGTACATTATATGCGGAAGAGATATAACTAATTGATATAATTCAATATGTGAAAAATCGTTCTCATATTATTAACAATTGTTTTCTTCTATAGTATATTCAATACACATATATAGCGAATATTTGTGCAGATTTGAGGAATCAAATTTTATTACCCCTGGACTCTTAAGGACTGCCATATTCTAACAAAAATGTATAAGAAAATATGAGTATTCGACAAAAATATACTTAATTAGCTAATTATACAAGTATACAACTTCCAAATTAAATCACCTTATGCTAAGAGGGACACGCCGCTCTAGAAGTCGGAACATCCAGCAGATGGTGGATAGGCGAAAAGATATGAAGATTCATTCAAGATTTGATACCGAAAATTCTAAGTTTAGTGAGACTCATTTCATCTAAAATGATCAAGACATGAACTGATTTAATTAGAAATGTTATCAAATATGGTTTCAAGGTAGACCTGTGCAGCAATATAAATATACAAATTTATTGTAAATAACTTTCAACCATAAAATACTATTGAAAAATTGTGAAGAAGTAATCCACTTTAAGCAGAGCTTCTACAAGTCATATTACTATTGTAGCTCTGTATTTGTATATATGTATTCATATGTCTATAATATATTCTTATAAATCCCATACATTCAAACGCATATTTAATAATTTCACACGGCCACTGACCTTTTTATGTACATCGCATGTGCATACTTTTATTGTTTGCATACGCGATCGTGCAGCGCGCTGCTTCCACCGTCGGTATTTGCCGATGATCATTTGCAGATCAGATCAGCAGCATCGTAAATTGCGCTTAATTGCCGATGTAAACGAATGCGAGAAGATCTTTGAGTCTTTATGAAAAAATTAATACAAAATGAAAAGTGATCGCAAATATAAAATAAACAATAATGCGGGAATCGAGATTCGAGTATAGGTGGTGAATGGTGAATAGTGAATGACATTTAAAACCACAACAAAACGGGTGCCAAGACTGCTAATTTTCAATTAAACATAATCAAATTTGGCTGATGCAATAAGGGTGTGTATTACATGACCCAGTTATAATTAAGAAAATATTGAGATACAATCTTATTATTATGGAATGACTTCTCATTAACACATTTGCAATGCGCTATTGACAGTTCTTCAGATACTATAGAATTAAGTAACACTAACACCTTTGGGCCAAGAAATGACGGAGAACAAATTAAATTCCTTTTCCGCTCACAAACGTGTCGGGTTTTCAGCTGAAAACAATTATCATTTAAAATTGAATTTCATTAAATATACATACATGTAAAAAAATATGTAGATAAGTATATATTTCGTCAGTCAAAACTAGAAAAACTATGATAATTTTCCTTTCAGAAACAACAATGCCTATAGCACAACAACAGCCTTTTTCTCAATTTAAAAATTTCATTTATTTCGTACTTACAATATTTTACAATACAACTTTTACAATTACACGTGTTCCCGCTAAATATATTAAGATTTTTGTCTGACATTTGTTATACGTATAACTATTGAGTCCTTGCTGCGATTATCTTTTCATGCACTTTTTGTTTTTATACCTATATGTGTTCTTATGTATTTATATACTCTATGTACCTCTGAAGGTTTCCTGTTTTGACTATCTGTGGATTATTTATTTTTTATTTTGCACATAACATACATATAACTTTAAAGCTAATACTTACTTTCTAGCGCTGCAGTATCGGGAAAAAGTTTTTTTTTGTAATTTTGTGTTCCGACTTTTATAATTATTATATAAATTGGTATTTATTTTAAAAATTTGTTTGATAAAAAATTACCAGACTTAGAGCTAATTTTTTAAATATTTACAAAAGATCCATATAACCTATAAATGGACTCATAATGGCATTGCTGTTGATATATCTGACGTATGGATGCATATTGCAACAAATGAAGCAACTTAACTATTTTAATGTTAATGTATTTATTTATTATTACTATTTGCTGTTTTATTTTTTTCATTTGTAGACCAAAAGTTGAGAGAAATAATAAAGAGATAAATGAAAAACGAAATCAGCAGAACTTCATGCCATATATCGAAATGCGAAAAGTTTAGAACTAGCAAAGGAACTCCATGAAGAGACAGAGTAATGTTCAAAATATCAGTTATAGGAGTATGTGTAAATATATCGAACTAGTTCACAAATATAGTCAAAGGTCAAATAAGCTTCCAAAGGCTTTCCATTTCAAAAGCAAGCAAAAATTCAGGCACAGATAACCCAAGAACATACGAGTATGTACGAATTTATTTCTTAAGTCTATTTATTATACTAGCAAAAACGTTAACCTCTTTTGCACCGAAGTTAGAATATGCTTCTCAAATAAATAAGTTTACATACAAGAACTTGATTTCATCAATTTTTAATGGCAGTTATATAATATAGTGGTCCGATATGGGTTTTAACAAATGAGCCACTTCTTGGAGCGAAAAGAACGTGTGCAAAACTTCAGGTCGATATCTCAAAAACTAGGGACTAGTTCGCGTATATACAGATAGACGAATGACTTACATGGCTAAATCAACTCAGCTCATGAAGTGGCTTATTTTATAGGGTCTCCGACGCTTCCTTATGGGTGTTACAAACCCTGTTCAGAATATAGAAATAGAACAGCAAGGTTGTAAAGCAAGGAGAATTATAAATGGTATCAATCAAAATTACAATGCGCACTATTCATTGGTTTGATTTTAGAAAGAGATCGATTCGATTGCCAGTAAAATATGAAATCAACTGAACTGAAATAACTTCATTTTCAATCAAAAATTTCACAGGAAAATTAACAAATGTTAAGAAAAAATCAGAAAACCTGCACTCTGGAAAAGGTTGCATTTATCTATTATTCCATTCTACTTGTAATGCTGGGTTAATATTTGTTTACTTATATTATATAAATTGAGACAAATGTAACGCACAATTTCACCTTAAGTCAGTACTTTTCTTATCTTTGAAAAAAAATATGTTCCAATTTTTTTACTTATATTCACTTTGATGACGAAATGGATTCAAAAATAATATTTATAATAACTACAATCAAAATAAATTTAAGAAATATTGAAACTTGACTCCGACTCCATTTACACGCCGAAAATAAAAAAAATACCAGTGTTTGTTTCAGATTATTCAAAGAAATTTTATTTTACTGCTACATATTATATACACACGACTTACTTGCACTTGCACTTATGCGAAAGCTAACTTAATAATAGTCTAATATACAATAACAATATTGACTTCCCGCTTAAAATAAATATTTTTGAACAGATCAAATGTGTTGGAATCTATAAAGTAATATGACTAAGTTTTATTTCGTGTTTATACATAACACCATAATTTAACTGTAAAAAAGCAAGCACGAAGGAATATTCCATTTCATTCATCACAAATAAATGTTTTGCTTTGAGAGTAGCATTTGGTGAAAATGTTACGAAAGATTTAATCTCTACATACAATATTATAACAACAAATGCTGTGTCTCGAAAGAAAACTATTTATATTTTATTAAAATGCAATAGGAATGTAAATTTATGTTGAATAGTTGCAAATTCGAACTGCACACATTCATACATATGTACATTATAGTAAACTAAGAATTTTGGTTTTCCATTTGTGATAAGCGAATGCGTTCCTTGTTTAACTCTAACTTTTGGTCTACTTCGGTTTTGCGTACGGTCGATTGTTCATACGAAAAGTGCCGATAAGTGTGAGCTTAATTATAAAAGAAATGCCAAACTTATCGACAATCAAAGCATTGAATACGAAAAAGGTTTACCTTCGAAATATGCATCAGCACCGAAAATGAGCTCTTAGACCAACAGTTACCCGGTGTCCACCGCGCAGAGCTGTCTCTACTTGGGTGCTCTCGCTTTTCGGCACTTTACCGCTTAACAAGTTGGACGCTCTGTATTATTTTATATTTATTATCATTTTCATATTTACTAATTTAATGATTGTATCAAACACTGGTTGCATGAGAAAGGTTTACGATTTGGCGGCTTTTTAAAACAATTGGTAAATTAAATGGTGGTTTGTTAGCTATTCGGTTACTTATTAAGTTCTTTTAATGCTTCGCAATGCTTAGTAATATTTCAAATAATGTATATTTGTGTTTTTCATAACTATGCGGACTCTCGGATTCTCACGGTTGCACTGATATTTAAGAAATTTATTAATTTACAGTGAAGTTTAACATGTATAAAACTATAAACTATTGAATTCGTTAATTACATTTAATTTAGCTGATTACTACCTTTGCGATTACACATTTTTATTAAATACGCAAAACTCTAGTAATTTTGTTTTTCTTAAAAACATCACTTAGTTTCTGGTTTGATTTTAATTGCGTTATTATTTGCAAGTTTTAGAAACTTTCAAAGTTTTTAATTATTTTAATTCTATTTTCCATTTTATTTTAAGACTTTGATGCTAATTATCTTAGGGGAGCTTAAGTAGACTGTTAATTATACTTCTTTTACTTTTGAATGTTTTGCATTTCAGTGAAAAATTTTTACTACTAAACCGTACTTTTTCTTTGTATTTTCTTATTTTTCATTTTATAATGGGATCATTATTTATTTACTTAGTTTACTTAACTAATTTCAAGTTAACACAGATTAATGCACTGGTATAGCTCTGGCAAATGGCATACAACCGTCCACTTACTTAATAAGTCTACCTAACTGTATCCCACTATTACTAAAGTGGTTTAATATTAAACCGCGGTTCAAGTGGTACCGTAACTCGGTCGTTGGTCCTTCGTTCCCTGCACATATATGTATGCTGTATATACCGTATATACACCAAATAAAATAGTTTAATTCTGCGCTGCCGCTAGTATACCCTATCAATTAGCCCGGTTCACTACACGCCGCAGCTTAAAAGCGCACCGCCTCTTAGTTGGATTCTAAATGTCTTATAGTTGCGCTCTTAAGACGATTCATAACCAAACCAGGCCGCTGACGCTGCCGCTGCGGCGGACGTATGCTATTCGCCTCCTCCGCCAAATGAATTGAAATGCCTCACGCCTGGTGCGGCAGCACCGAATTGTAAACTCCATTCAAATAGACGCCGGGCATGCAATTGTTGTTGCTGCTGTTGGTGGTGATGTTGCTGTTGGTGGTGATGGTGATGCTGATGTAGTGAGTGTGGATTTAAGTTAAGGTGATGCATGCCGGTCGCGCTGCTCACTCCCAACACCGAGGACGCTGAGGAGGGCGATGAGGATGGTGCTTGCAAGGCGCCGCTGCTGCTGCCCGCTCCGGGCGATGTCTGCGGCTGTTGCAGATGTTGGTGATGAGCGGTCGGATGTTGCAGCGCTGAGTGCTGCTGGTCGCTGGTGTGGAAGAGGTGTGGGTGGTGCGCGGGATTAAGATGCGGGTGTTGGTGTGGATGGTGATGTTGATAGCGCATCGGATCGATGTACATAGCGGCGGCTGCAGCTGCCGCTATCGATGACGCTTGCTGTTGCTGCTGCTGTTTCACCTGCGTTAAATGATCACTTTCATTGTTATTGTTGTTCGTATTATTGTTGTTGTTATTATTAGCAGCTAACCCAGCACCGATCGGCGATTGCGGCGACAGCACATTTGTTGTCATTGTCGCCGATGAGCCACCCGAAGACGACGGCGTGTTGGGCGCATGTTGGTTATGTGGCTGGTGTTGTTGTTGTTGTTGTTGCTGCTGATGCAGCGATGCAGGAGTGGACGCAGCTGCAGCTGAGTTCGACTCCTGGATTTCTGATTGCTAGTGAGCCGCCAACTGATGACCTGTCGCGGACTGCATATTTTGTGGGCTAAGCATGGGCGGGCTGTGACTGTGACTGTGTGTACCCATTGGACTTCCATGCATATCGTGATGAGGATGGTAGCCACCATGTGGGTGCATATGGCCTGGTGGCATACCGTCCATCATATCGCCACCCATTGTATTTGGTGGGGTCATACGCTTTTCCTTCTGCCTCCGATTACAAAACCACACCCGCACAACCTCTTTTTCCAATTGCAAAGAATCTGCCAGCGATGTGATCTCTTGGGCCGATGGCTTTGGTTGTTTGTGAAAATGTTGTTCAAGTGCCCCTTTAACGCTAACTTCGATGCTAGTTCGTTTCTTACGCTTACGACCCTGAGCCGCAATTTTGTCAATGCTTGTAGGTGATCCCGTGGTGGAGTCAGCTTCCTCTAACCATTTTTGTAGCAGTGGTTTTAATTTGCACATGTTCTTAAAACTTAACTGTAGAGCTTCAAAGCGGCAAATTGTTGTCTGTGAAAACACATTACCATATAAGGTGCCAAGCGCAAGTCCCACATCCGCTTGAGTAAAGCCGAGCTTTATACGACGTTGTTTGAACTGTTTTGCAAATGCTTCCAAATCATCTGAAGTGGGTGTATCCTCTTCCCCTCCCGACACGTCACGATCGCCTTGCAGATGATGGGGATGTATATGAAGTTGTGGGGATTCACCACGTAATGCGTGATGCAATGGTGGCACTCCTTGGTGATGCGCTGGATGAGCAGGATGATGCAACATTCCGTTCATTGCATGGTGATATTGCAAAGGCGAACCACCCGTCGGTGCATAGTGAGCTGTATGAACCGGTGCGTGCCATGTATGTGGGGATGCCATGCCTTGTTGAACGCGAGACTGCTGTGATAAATGAGACATCTCTTGCTTCACCGCATCCGCGGGATGATGGTGTGTATGATGTGTCATTGAAGCCCATGGATCTGAAGGATGCAATGCGGTCCAGTGATTTGAACCCAAACTTCCAGAGGGTGTGATCGAACTAAGCCCACTCGCTGACACACCTAGACCACCGGTACCACCTGCTCCCGTACCTCCCGCTCCACCCACTACTGCATTCGGGCTTGGCGACGAGGGCAGCTGATGGTGGGCGGCAGCAGCGGCGGCATGATGATGATGATGTTGCATGTATTTCATTTCTCCAGCATCTGCGGCAGATCGAGGCGATGAAGTATGATAACCCCCACCACCTAGTGCCATATCGAGATCACCGCTGGACGGTGTCATATATGAGGTGGCGGCCATCCCCACCGCTCTAGGGCTGTTCAGGCCCTCCACGCTGGCGGGGTAGGGCTCCAAGTTGGGGCTCAGTTTAACGACCTTGAAAACCGATCTGTCAAAAGGAAGACCAGTGTCCCTATGCTCATTCCACTCGAACCGTGAGGCAACCGTCTTGAAGTCTTTTCGTTCAACGTACACAGGAGAGAATTCGATGACGCCGGTGTATTAAGAGCAGCTCGCAATGGCTGCTCAACGCAACAAAGAGTAGAAATTTGTTTTAAATCACTGGGTGCGTAGTCACTATCAACGCACGTTCCACTGCTCCTTCTCCGATCTTTTGAAACTGTAATCAACAAGTTGTGTAACACTAAAAATTGGATTTGCCGCCGGCTACTAAAATCATACCAATTCCTGTAAGCGGAGGCGTTTTTGGTTTGCAAAAGCTTAATTGACTAGTAAGCCACTATCGAGGCTTATACGAGTACATATATTTAAGTTAAGACAAGTTTTGAGTTGTATTCATTAAATCAACAATCTTGTATTTATTACACAACTACTTTTTTGTCATTTAATGCACGCACGCACCTTTTTATATAATTGCTTTTTTCGTTTTATTTTTTAGAATTCTTAATAATTTTGCCAAATATGAGAGATGATTTGTTTTGCATCCAGACACACTTTTCACTGGCAGGTTTTTGTCGCTTTGTGAGCGAGATTGGTCAACCGCACTTTATCAAAATAACCGTAATGTATGATGAGCACTAAGATAATATAGTATCTCTAAGGTAACTTTTGGGTTTCCATTTATACAAGTAAATACAGAACACGCATTCTCATTTCAAAAATTAAGCAACTTGCTTAGTTAAACGATCCGCACAACAATTTCTTCTTACTTTGCTTATTCTATTTTGTACGCTTCAGACACGCGAAGACTGAAATTTTCTACGTGTAAACTCATAGAGCTATCGAAGTGAACTAACGTCATTCATCGGCGACAGAAGGTATCGGAGAGTAGCGTGCGGCAGCGTACGTCACCGCCAAACAACCGTACACAAGCACTCTGTATACACAGCATATAATACAACGAATAGAAGAGGTAACACGAATAGTGAGTACCGAATATCAGAACGACAACGTCGACGACTTCAAGCAGCGTTAGCTCAGCTAAAGCCAAAGCCAAAGACAACGATGAAGGCGACAACAGTCAGCAAACCACCAGCGAAGTAAGCAGTCAAACGAAGCGCACAAAATGTAGCCGCAAAGAGAGAGTGAGTGCACAAACGAAGTGAAGGCAGAATAACATCGGTTTGTGTTAGTGCCACCGGCCGTGACAAAGGTGCAGGCTCGTACCAATTCAAAAGTGCGAAGGGGTGCGCGATAAAATTGCTGTTGGTTTTTCTGAAAAGAGTAAAGAACCGAATATAGGTGTACGTCTCTTATGCGTTGGGATGTAAGGGCCTGCATTGAAAATATCATAGAATGGCAGATCGACAGGCATAAGGAAACAAAAACACTTACCATATGTTTCCACCCCTAGTGCGAGTGCGATGATCTGATATTACAATGTATCAGCTCGTAGACTAACTGACTGTAAAGTGCGAATGAAAGCAAATGCTTTATCGTTATTGAAGGAAAGAAAAGTAGTAGATAAGAAACACATTCTCCTTCCAATGCTCAAGCTTTTTTCTACTTAGTGATTGTGTGTGTTAGAGAGTATTATAGCGCAGGTCATTCAACAAAGAGAAACCCCGGAAGCACCCGCAATTAGAAGCGAGTTGCATAAAAGAGTATTTGCCATTCTTGCTCATTCACCATTTTCGTTGGATCGTTAGACTGCGATAGAAGATATTAATGGAACAGTGCCAACCCAACAATGATGTTGTATGGATGTGTTTACTGCTCCAAATTCCAATGGAACGCCTACAAGAAATTAAATACTAAATTTCCAATTGCTCAGTGTCACTACTCAGTCTATTTAGTAAATGAAAGTGAACAACGGATTAGCATTCCTTTCCTATAATAGCTTGTTGATTATGGTTTAGACTTATTGACTCCCCTTTATAACGTATGCTAAACTTCTTACTTCCATTCCATTGCTCTTTTCTCAGGAAAGCGCGTTGTAGTTCCAGAAATTCCATTCATGCCTTTGAATGCAGCTTGCACTTCCATCCTGAAAGAGTTCAAGCCATCACATCCAGCTGGAACAGTTAGTTCTTGTGCTAACTCCGTACGTTCGATTTCAAATCGGTGCGCGCCCCACAACATGCTTTACCGTACATTTGCAGACACGGCTCAAAAACTTCCTAATAACAATCGGTCGTGTTATATGGTTATGAGGCGGGCATTAGTGTTTGTTGTAACAATTGTTACACTTGGATTTTAACCTTTCATAAACAATAATTCAAAACTAGTGAATAAAATATCATTAAAGCTCCATATGGATTTAGTTATGGATATTAGCAGTAATGTTGGCTTAATTTCAATATTATTCTAGTGGTAAAATATCTGTAAAATTTCAAGCATATCCTTGCTTGTAGGTCACTGTAGACACCTACCGTTAAAAGCCTCATCAATATACAATGTATGTATATGTCTTTTTTTTGGAAATTTATGAAAATCTAAATGAATTAAAATTCAAAATAAGGCGTTCATATGTTTCAGCTAATAGTAAAACTATGCCAACACCCTTACTTTTGTCCCGGCGGACATATTTCGTGCACATACTTATACTATGTTTGCATTTAGCTGCTGCTATCACACAAACACGCATGCATGCATAACAATCTAATTTTTACCAAAACTGCGCCAGTTTCAAAACATACTCAATGTCAGCAGTGACAAGTGGAATGAGTGAAATGCCAACCGTACCAATTTGTATTCAAATGGTAAATAAAATGAATGATCAGAAGCGAGACAACGAGTCGAATTGTGGTGCTAAATACAGACAGACAAACTACCAGGTATCAGACGTTTGGGTAGACAACCAGCTGATCGTAACTGAAATATTGACTCTCTTTGTTTTGCAGTGCTACTTAGCACGTCTATACATACATATGTATGTACAAATCTCCATTTGTTTAGTATTGGCATGCAATCTCTGAAATGCCTTACTATTTTGATCCTTCAATAATATTCAGTGAATTCACCTTCAAAGATTTGAATGGTTTAAATGTATTTACTATTCAAATAAATCTAAAATATGTATAGTGGCATACAATTGTATTTATAACGCCGCAACTCCACAGACAATGTACATACCTTACGAACCATCTGTCAAATACATTACCATTGAGGTTGGCAATGTTTTTGTTTAAGCATTAGATATCATAAAATATTTATTCTCGAAATGGCGTCGGGTAGGTATGTATGTTCGAGCTGATCCAGCGCGTGTTTGAGTTCTTGTACCGTTAAAAAATTATATGAGGATGACAAAAATTTATATGGGGAGTAAAAAGAGTAGAAATCTACTTTTTTCTACAAATGTATAATTTCGAAATATAAGATTTTATGTTTTAAGACTTAAATACATTGCATAAAGTTTATTTACCTATTAATAATTAAATATTATGATTGATTTTTAAAAATGCTAACAATTATTAACCATATACGTATGTATTTAATTATTATTTTCCGTGTTTTGGTAAAATTTATATTTTGAATATTACTTTGCTAAATTGCACTTTACGCAACAATAAATAAAACACAGGCATTGACATTTCATCTTTGGTGGCATCATGCCACCGAAGCTATGCAAGTACTTGTTTCCTCTTCAAAATGTTTGTGCAAATGAAAACAGCTTTGTCAAACCACCTATATAACAGTTCATCGCTAGAAATGTATAGCATGAAATATATTTAGACACACATGTACAGTCTTCATTGGCAGTATTGCTAGCAATTCAGATTTTTTTATAATCTTTAATTGCCTGTCGCAATGTAAGTAATTTAAAAAACAAATATGCATTACAGTTAAGATTGTACATTTTATATGAGGAAAATGATGTATTTAACTTAAACAATTTGGAGCGAAGATTCGGCGCTAGTTCTTTGGAGTGGAAATATTTAAGGCACTTGAACATGTGCTCTCGTATATTTCATCCGCAAAATTTGTTATTAAATACAAATAACATACATTATAATTTCATTATATTATATTTGCTCACAATATATTTAAAGCTCAGTCTTCCTTTATCGGAATTATCTGCTTCAAAATATTATATAGTATTTATATCAAAACACGTAAGTATCAGACAATGTGACACTCTGTCGTCTATTCCAATGCGACCAAAGCATTATCAAACCCTTAAGAGATTTTCTCTAAAAGTGTTCTAAACGCTTTTTCAACACTCGTAAGGAAATATTTATATAAATGATAAGCGTGACGAGCTGGGTCCGACTGTCTATACGCGGACTAGGCCCTCACTTTTAGAGATACCAATCTGAAATTTGGTACACCTCCTTCTCTGCCCAAGAAGCTGCTCCCTGGTTGGAATCACAGATATCGGCCAACGGAATCACAGATATCGGAAGCTGTCATACAAACTGAAAGATCAAAATTCTTTCACAATATTCAGCCAAGGCAATACTACAATATCCAACGACATTTTCCAGATCAGATCATTATAGCATATAGCTGCTATATAAATTGAACGATCAAAATCAAGTTCTTGTATGGAAACTTCTTCGCTGGTAAACAAAATTAAACGTTTTGTTTTTCTTTTATGAAGTTTCTAAACTGGTCTAGTTCTAGTGACAGAGGTACATAAATAAACCGCTATGTTTACATTAAGAAGAACTTGTTTAAATGATCCAAATCGTTTTTATGCTATTTGCGGTGACTATATATTTAAAGAACGCCGTTTTAATGCGTGTGATTCTATAAAAAAGCCTATTTGGATTACTTTGTTCTACTTACATATAACATAAGTGGCTGATATGCGTCGATCTTAAAATGGTAAATTTGCTTTTGGGTCAACAAGGACCCTTCTTCATAAAAAATTACGTCTGAAAAAATAGTTTGTAAAAGCTCTAAACAAGGATGGGGAATGTTTTAAATATATCAGTAAAATATTTTCAAAATTGAGTACAGAAAAAAATTAAAGCTGGTATTTTTGATGGTTCTCAAATCAGGGAACTAATAAAGGACCAAGATTTTACTGATTGTATGACAGATAAGGAGAAATCTGCATGGATTGAATTTTTTTTATGCAAAATTTCTTAGGAAACAAAAAGTCTCCACATATCTTCACTTCCTCTTCAGATATTTAGACCGTTTCCCAGAAAAATTGGGCGACTTAAGCGAAGAACAAGGAGAACGCTTTCATCAGGATATTCGCACTATGGAAGAGCGATCCAGGGTCGTTGGAATGCAAATATGATGATTAGCGGTGAAGCATTCAAAACAACACTGATGTTTCTACTCATGCAAGAAAAGCACATAAAAGAAAGTTTATTTCATGTTAAGTAAGAGCAGGTCAATATGCATTTTTTAATTCTAAAAAATGTAATGTAAAATGTAATATGTTTATATTTCGAAAACTAGAGCTGCTAGAGAAGAACTGACTGCAGATTTGGAATTAGCGTGGCAAAATCATACAAAATCGGGTAATAAACTTCATAAAACAAAACTACTGTTTCCCACAATAATTACAATTAATAACACTACGTAGTACCTAGCTTTCAAAAATTAGGGCCTTTGATTAATTGAGCAATTTTATACTTACTATGTTTTAGGTAGTGATTTTCAAATAATTTACTTAAATTCCTGTGGCAATATATCTATTTGATTTTAAGGATTTTCCAATACTACTTATAAATAAATATAAACAAACCAGAAAAAAGCACACAGCATTGAAATTTCGGTTGAAAAGAAAGTTCATATGCTTTAATTTCTATGATTATTATTCATTTCTGCTAACAATCTCTAAAAATTTTTTTTGCACACATTTTGCAACATTTCGTTATTTTCGATACTCCTCATTTCGCATTCTTTTGTTTGTTTAATGAGCGAGTGCTCTAATTTTTTTGTACTCCGTACAAAAAGTCGCAAAATTTTGTATATAGGTATATATGTACATATGAATGGTGTATTTTACTGCGCATTGGGCAGTACTTTACTTTGCTTTAAATTTAAATAGAAATTTTATTCAGAAATTTTCAACTACATTGCAAATGCATACAGTAAAACACCCAGATATGTGAGTAAGAGATTACATGGTATGATAGTACTTATAAGTTCACTCTTCAAAGGCTTTAATTTGACTATTACTGCCGTTGAATTTTATAAATGCCATGCACAAAAATTGCTAAATTTGACTTACTACCTAAATATAAATGTTGTAGTATACCTAAATATATATGTTGGAAATAAAATCGCTATGTACTTAGGTATGTTTGTTAGCCAAAGCGCAGGAGGATACGTTTTAACAAAATCAAAATTAGAGATATATTTAAGGAATAATTAAACCCAAAAATTATTCATAATATTTAATAATTAATTTATATACATACTTATGTGTAAGTAGATCCACTCTAGATTTGTATTTCCATTAAATTTTCGTTTTTAATTAGGAAGAAGAAACGTTAACTTCGGTTGCACCAAAGCTAGAATAACATACACTTCACAAATAAAGAAGTTTTCATAAAATAACTTGATTTTGATCGTTAAGTTTGTATGACAGATAAATTCAGAGCGACACCTCAAAAGATGAGAGACTAGGTGACGTATATACATACAGTTAGACAGAAAGATGGACAAACGGACATGGCTAAATCAATTCAGCTCATAACGCTGATCATACACATCATATAAATCGTTTATATATTTTATAGGGTTTCAGACATTTTCATCTGAGTGTAACAAACTTCGTGGCAAACTAAATATATATACCTTAGAAAACTGCTGACGTTACTTTTGGTTATTTCCAAACGTCAAAAACTAACATACCTTTGAATAACAATTTGGTTAATTTTAAGTGTCCACACGTCTGCGCTTCCCTATTTTTCAACCACTCGTACATTCAATAAGGTCAGTTAGTGTAGGGTTATGTATAATTTTGTCTGCATCATACTTTATATGCATGGAAATCAAACAACAAATGAAAACTACCACCTTCTATGATTTTCATGCTTATATTGTTTATAATTCTTTAAAAATAAGTTAAACAGTTGACACGCTAACAAACACAATGTAATTGACTATTGTGAGTATTGTACAAATAATATGAGAAAAAGTGGCAGTTTGCTCACTTCACAATCATTAACAATTCAAATATGATAATTACCGAAATTTAAATAATATGACCACATGATAATTTTTCGGGATACGGTAATTAAAGGAGCGGGCAAGAGTTAACCCTTATAGTTTCAACAATGTGACTTAATAGTTAACATCACTTGGTGAATGGTTGTATCTGAAAAAAATACATATATTATATATATTAAGAAGTAATTTCTGATTTGATAGACAGGTCGAAATCTTGTTCCATAGAACTGCTGTGCATATTTATTTGTGCTATGCTAACGCGCACGCGCCACAAAGCACCAGAAAAAATATGTTAATAATGCAAATAAACGAGCTGAAAACCGTACAGAAAAAAATATCTTCGTGGCAAGGACTTGTTGCATAATTATGCGTACTACTCAAAAAGCCGCAAAACGCTACAGCGTTTCTGCTCATAGTAAAAAATTCATGAATGAAAAATGCTGAAAAGCCGCAGCGTAGTGGCGTTGAACTCCTGTCGCTTTGATTCAATCGAAAGGTCTACAGCCAGTCGCTATAGCAGAAGCTTCAGCTGGAACAAAAAGATGCCGTCAGTGTAGCAGTAGAGGTGGCGTTGATGAGATGCCGGCATGTTGATGGCGTTGATAATGAGCAAGATTAGCATTTTGCAATGTTTTTTGGCAACCACTTTAACCACAGTCGCTTTAACAGCGGCACCTGTACGCTAGCTCACGCGCCATTAGCATGTTTTTGCTCATGTTATTGTTTTTGCATATACATATGCTTATGGCATCAATACGGTGGTCATTTCCCGATTTTTAATTGAATGAATTTAATGAAGAGTGTGCGCCCAATAACGGCATTTTGTATGGATTTTTTATGTGTTTACCTACTTGTATTTAACCAATTAACCGTTACTTGTTTTTAATCTTCCTTTGCAGAATGAATGAATGAATGTATGTAAGTGTTTTCAGTAAAGTACGATTTCAATAAGTTTTATGAGAGCGTTAAAGCTAAAATGTTCAGAATTTCCAACTTCTTTTTGAGAAATTTTGTGCAGAAAATCTTCACATCTTGTTTAGCATTGATATTTGCACAAATCTGTTGTTATGTATCAATTTCTTAGCAATCAGCACCGGAATGTATATTTATTACTAATGCAAATTTGTGTATCAAAAATAAATTAAGCTAAATGTTTAAAATTATTAAAATTCTTGAATCACCAATTAATCGACCTGTTTAAATTGCGACGAATTCTTCACAAGAAAAAAGTGTAAAAAAG